ATGGTGACTCAACAGAGCTAGCTCACTTCGACAACAAATGCTATCTCAGACACTGCGACTTAGATGCACTGAATTACCGGCGTGCTATCTGCTGCACCAGAAATGGCAACCAAAAACTCGTGTACTGTAGTCTTCTCCTTGATGAGATAAACATCGCGCACAGCCAACCTTAAAGTTGGCGGACGCAGACCTCAGTTCAATTTGTGCACGATGAAATTCGCAATACATGACCACCACAATTGACTGCACTTGATTGGGCGCTCGATCAACTTGCAGCATGACGAAAGCCAACTCGGTTACTGCACGTGCTTGGCCCAAAGGGATCACCTTGGATGGTGAGAGTGCTGACACACTGAACGCCCGCCTCAATTATTGCCAAGGCGCACCGCTCAGTTCGTTCACAGCGCTGTCGAGCAGATCTTTCCAGTCGCCATGACAGTACTTCTCAATTTCCTCCCGAGCCGCCATGGCGCAGTCTCACCTTCACCTGACAGACCGCGTCTCCATCGAAAGTCTTCCCCGGCTCAAACTCGACGATACGCTGTCGCACCCGACGAGCTACGCAGAGGTCAAGTCTCCGGTCGATCCGGTCCAGCTGGAGGATGGCAGTCTTCGCCCAGCGAACGGCTCCGTGTCCGCCTACAGCTGGGAGAACCTCGGTATGCTCACGCATATCGCTGCTGTCGGCATCGTCTACGGAACCGTCAGCGGAGTCCTGTACTCGGTGTTAAATAATTACTTACATTTGAGCACGACTCTACTGTACTCTACTAAGTATGTTCCCTGTGATAGGTTCGCGTAGAGCCCGAGACCTGCAATAATGCTGTAAATATCGAGAAGAGGAGGGTGTTTGGTGAAGCGTTGCTGAAGCATGAGCGGAACGGTGCTTTTATCGTGTATTATGACGAGACCAACTACACCTTTGCCAATCCAAGTTGGCAGTAGTGCAAGGCAAAGCCGAGAGTCCCGTAAATACGAAAAATATTTTTTTCAAAAAATTATTTTCGAGGATTAGTACAGACCAATGTGGATTTAGTCCACAGCAAACATCTAAGTTCCATGCTCCATGGGCTCGCTACGAATAGCAGCGGCGACAGACAGCGCACAGTGTCGCGCCATCTTGTTAACAAGGCGCATGTCAATGCAAGGCATGCAGTGCTCCGCGGCTTTCTCAAGCAGTCGCATCCTACGCTCCGTCTTCTGGCCGTGCGGCACGTTGATCATCTCATCGTGGCTCAATCCCAGATACGCCTTGATGCGAGCTTTTAAAACGCTAAAGCAACCTGCACAACAATACATTGTATCGCCTCAGTACCTCTAAGTATATCGCACCAAAAGATAAGCTAACCGTACCTTCGATCGGGTTACACATAGGCGAGTACGGCCCTAGGCGTAGCAACTCCAGATCCGCCCGCTGTTGGACGAGGTCCTCCGTCTGGCAGTGGGCAGGCGCGTTGTCCAGGACGATGACGATGGTCTTGCCGAGAAAGTGGTCGCGATACACGTCGCGGGCCTTGACCGCGTCGTATACCTCGTCCACAAACTCGGCATTGACCTCCATCTTGTTGCTGCCACGACGCGTGGCGTAGTGCACGAGGCCGACTTCGGGGGAAACTGCGCACTGCACCTGTAAGTTAGCCCCCTTAGAGGGAGGGAGCTTGACGATAGCGCGTTGTCCGACAGGAGCGCGGCCTTGCGTCCGCTTACAGTACAGGTTGTAGTTGGTCTCGTCATAATACACGATAAAAGCACCGTTCCGCTCATGCTTCAGTAACGCTTCACCAAACACCCTCCTCTTCTCGATATTTACAGCATTATTGCAGGTCTCGGGCTCTACGCGAACCTATCACAGGGAACATACTTAGTAGAGTACATATAGTGGCGACGGCGACTGCATTGGTGACCTTCCCACGCGCACTTCGTCTGTTCACGGGCATGCTGACCGACACAGTCCCAATCTTCGGCTACCGTCGGCGGCCGTACATGATCATCGGCTGGTCATTGTCGTTCATCTCGTGCCTGCTCATGGCCGCGCTGCCACTGGGGGAGCCGTATTATACTGATCCATCGCTGTCCGACATCGCCACGGTTGACATGACGCCGGAGCAGCTCGCGACGCTCAACACGGACGCTCCAAACCGCGGCATCAAGCTCATCATTTTGATGATGATCGCGAACTTCGGCACGGTGATGGCGTACAGCGGCTTCAACGGAGCCCTGATGGACGTCTCGCAACGTGAGCCGGAAGCTACTCGCGGTACGGCAATGGGCGACGTCATTGTCGTTCACTACATCTTCATGGTCATCTCGTCGTTCATGACGGGCATCGGTCTCAACAGTGAAGCCTACGGCGGCACCTACTCGTGGACCATGGGCTTCAACGCCATCATGTGGGTGTGCCCGGCGATGTCGTTCCTCACGATCCCGTTCTCCTGGTACTGCGTCCAAGAGGTCAAGGGCGAGCGCGCGGAGATGCCGGTTCTGCCCTTCCTGTACAACCTCTTCCAGGAGCGCGTGATCTACCGCTACGCCGCCTACCGCTTCTTCTACACCGTCTTCTCGACCATCACCGTGACTTCGTCCAGCGCGATCCAGAGCGACTGGGCCAAGGTTGAGCCGCTCAACTCGGGCATCGCGAGCATGCTCACGGCCTTTTTGACGATCAGCGGCACGTACTTGGTCAAGACGCGCGGCCTCCACTGGAACTGGCGCCATATCATCATCGTGTGCGAGGTCTGCGTCGTATTCATCGACGCCATCCCAACACTGCTCACGATCTGGGACGTCTACCGCAGCCAGTGGTTCTGGCTGGGCGTGCCGCTCGTGGCCGAAGTGCCGTTTGCGGCCGGTGACTATGTGGCACAGCTCTTCATGATCGAGATCGAGAACCAAAAGGGGTTCGAGGCCACGCTGCTGGGCCTTGCGGTCACGACGCAGTCCGTTGGATCGCCCTTCGCCACTGTGATCACCAAGTCTGTGGACGGATACTTCGACATTGGCCGCACGTTTATCGAGCAGGACAACCACCACGTGCGGTCTCAGGTCACGTTGGCGTACCTCATCGCGTACGCGTTCAACCTGGTGTCCATGGCCTTCGTACTGTACCTGCCCAAGCAGAAGGACGTGATCCACGAGATGCAGCGCGAGAACCGCAAGAGCAAGTTCTGGGGCGTCGTGACGATCTGCTACCTCTGGCCTGGACGCTCATGACCAACATCTTGAGTCTCTTCGAGTCCACGAGCTGTCTGCGGATCGCAGGCGGCAGCGGGTGCTAGCTAGCTTGACGTATCCATTTGGAACCAAAGGTTAGTTTAATGTTTATCAATTGTAGCTGTTCACTCTGGGCGTACTTACCCACACAACCCGAGCGTCCTGAAGTTGTCCCTCTTGCTGACCAGCGATCAAGAGGAACGCTGCCGCAACCCGTGGCCCTCACGTTTGACTTCGCCGCTGAGATCCTTGACAGGGAAGCCGCGCCTTGATGGGATGGGAGGGGCTGATGCGGCGGCTGCAACGCGGCCGGATTCAGCCGCCCACTTGAAGTGAGTGGGGTCGGCCCGACGCGGCCAGCTGCTGGTGTGTTGGCGGCATCGAGTCCTGGAGCCCGGGGCTTGAGCGCTTCCGCGTGCTGGCCGAGCTCCTCGTCGCGAGTAAATCAGCGCGCGTGTGACAGAGAGAAGAGCTCCTGACAGCCTACACTTTTATGCAGGGATGCGCCCTAGATCGCGCAGCCAAAGGGGAAGTGTGGAGCTAAACGCTGCCCCCCGCGAAGCCTCCGCGGCACATGGCCACCATGGGCCATGGTCACCTCGACGGTGGCCGCCGTGGTGGTATTGTCGTGCAAGTCGTGGCGCGCCCCTGTTTGCGGCTGGCTTCCCGACGGCGCCGGGGACGTTGAAGCCTTCCTCGGGACCACTGGCTGACCGGAGGGCACATCCTTACGTTGCATCCCAGGCAGCCGCTGTAAACAAGGCGCAAACTTCAGCCTGGGCCGGCGCGCGATCTTTTGACCGCCACGAGCCCCGTTAAATGCAAATCGGGGGCTAAATAAAACGAGGGCTCTATGCAGGACTCGACGAACTCAGTTGCTACAGTACATCACTCACAATCCTATAAGTAGCTAGCTGCCTGCATGGAGGCCAGGCAGGCGTAGTCGCCTCCTGACGGCGACTGCAGCGACGGGAACAGGTAGTGCGGCGCCTGGCGCAGCAACGCGCCGGCGCTCACGTTCACAGTGTTGCCCGAGAACAGCGGCTCCTCTTGTCGAGGGGCCGGGGCGTCGAGCGACGGGAGAAAGTTGTCGATCCACTCGAGTGAGTCCACCTCCTGCTCGCTCAGCGGCGGCGAGACGAAGCTGTTGGCGGACTGGGAATACCTCTGCGGCTCCACGTCGTTCTCCAGGAGCATCATGTCCATGTCGGTGGGCGACGGGAACGGGCGGCCGCTGCCGTACGGGCCGCCGACGAGCATGGCGCTGGGCGCGCGGGGCACGCGGATGGCGATGTCTCTCTTCCACGAGCTCTTGCTCGGGAACGGCTGAAGCTGGAACGGCTGCGGCTCGAGCTTCACGGGCTCGAGCTTCAACGGCTCAAGCTTCACGGTGGTCTTGGCCAGTGGAGTCGCCACTGGCACTGGGGCTGGGCGCGGCTTGCGCGGCGTGGAGCCGCCGCTCTTGCAGCTGCTGGAGTGCACCGACTTCTTGCGCGTAATGCGCCACGCGAGGTCGGGGCGGTCGCGCAGGAAGCAGTCGTTCGAGAAGGTGCAGACGACGGCCTTGGACTTGGTCCACTTCTTGAAGCTGAAGTAGTTGAGCTGGCGCTGGAAGCTCGTGTACTTGCGGTGCTTGAAGTACTTGGGCAGCACCTCGTCCATCATGCGCTCCATATCGAGGATCTCGAAGGCGCGGCCGTTGGGCGTCCAGCGCAGGATGTCGGCGCTCTCGGTCTCGAGCATGCGGCGCAGGCTGCGCAGGAAGGGCGCCACCTCGCGCGGCTTCACTGCTGCTGCATCGAGGCTGAGGACGGGCGGCAGCTTTTCGAGGCCGGGGACGTCGAGGCCGCAGAGCATGCACATGGGCTGTGAAGGTGCGTTGTACAGTGGTCTGCGCTTGGTCGAGGCGGGGCAGATTGGAGAATGGCAGCGAAAAGAGACCGAGCGCGCGGCGGCAACAGACAGGACTCTCGGTGCGGCGCCGGCTGCCACTTCAACGAGTGGGATGCGCATAGGCGGCGGGGCACCATCCGATAAGCAGCGGGTCATACGGGGCGCTGGCGCTGCCCGATACTGTAGCGAGCGCTGGCTGTCGTGGCCTCGACCGAGGCGAGCTGCGCGGGCCGCACGTATGCTGCTACGGGTACACCCTGGTCGGTCGGCGGAGGCAGCACCACGCTATTCATGCACGACAAGGCAGGCTAAATGATAAGCCCCTTGGCCGCTGCTCTGCAGAGAGCTAGCTGCTACCTTCAAGCGCGCGAGGCGAGGGCCCCCTCGGAAATGCCGGGCCTCAACTCTGCAGAGTCTCTGCTGCGTCGAGTGGGACGGCCGGCATCATGGCACGGGAGACCGCCGACCGGCATCGTTTGCAGATTTGCGCCGCGATCTTAGTCGGACGTGGCGGCCGAGTCAGCAAGGCAAGGCAACAGGAGCAAGAAGCAGCAAGCTCTGGAGTCTGGAGTCTGGACGGGGCTTGCGGGCATCGTTGAAGCGGCCCAGCCGGCCGGAGCGACCAAGAGCGGGGCCGCCGCATGAATGAGTGGGTGGCGGGCTCGCTTAACCTGCCAGGCAGGCAGCCAGGCAGTGCCAGAGCGGACCGTCTTGAAGAGAGCAAGCGAGCGCTCCGCATCCCTCCCTCGCACGACAGCGCGCGGCCAGGTGGCATCAGCTAGCTGATGCTGATTCCCGCGCGCGGCGGCGTTGAGGTGGCAGCTACGGCGACGGCGCGTAGCCATGATGTAGCCATGATCATCGACTGTGGCGGCGGCGGCGGGGTTGTTCGATGCGATCGATCGGTGCAGCTGTCCACAGTGCGGGGACCCGAGCCGGGCAGGCTACGGTCTCCACTTCACTGGCGCGTGTTTGTTGGCCAAGCTGAAGATACTGAGTTCTCCGCGACAAGCAGACGCGTTTTTGCTGAATTGCGTGTCAACTGAGCTGGCCATGAAGCGCGCGCCGAGGAGCTCACGCCGTTTCTACGATCTGCGCGCATACCTGTGTCCTGCGGACGAGCTGAGTTGCTGCTGGCCAGCGAGCGAAGGAGCTCCTCCCCGCCGGAGCTCTTGGTGGTATCGCTGCTGAAGGAGGCCAGAACGTTCGCCTATTGCCTGTGCGGCTTCAACACGGACGGGCAGAATCAGGGGCAGACAGAATTTTTCGGACTCAAACTTTGCGGAGCCTCGTGGGCCAGAGCGGGGGCTGGCACCAGTGGCCAATGTGCTGGCTGCGGCGAGACACCGGCAATTGATGCACATATCTCGAAGTCCCGGAGCCGGCGATCTGCGGATCGGGGCCGCTAGTGTTCGACGCAGGCACCGGAGTTGAGCTCCACCGGGTCGTTTCGACCCAAGCAGCAGCAGCAGCCCCGCACGCTTCTATCTCGCTAGTAGATCGGGCTCGTCATCGCTTCGATTTCTCACCTCGCACTTCAAGGTGCACTTCAAACAGGTGGTCGCCATGGGCGGACGTACGTGGCGTGCTGGGCAGTGCGTCCCCCTGCTGGCAGTGCTGACTCACCTGACTCAATCCAGCCCAGCAGGGCCGAGCTGCCAGCCAGGCCCTGCACGCCGGGAAGGAAGACGCGTTGCTCCGACGGCACGAAGCTTGGAGGCAGGGCAAGTGACCGCTTCAGCTGACGTCCATGTTTTATGGGACGGACACTGTTCAGCGTTTACTTGTTAGCTGTGGCAACGCGCCCGTAACCTCCCGGTCGTTCGAAGTCGAAGGGTGCAATGCCCCCAAGCACCGAGTTGGGAGACCCGCTGGCACCGACGCTCGCGTCATTGTGAGCAATGGCTGACTCACCTGGCAGGTGCTGGTCTGTAGAATGTAGAGCACGCGAAAGTCGGCGGCGCGCAATAGCATCTTGGCCAGACTGGCGCCACTTCAGGTTAGAGCACCGCGTCAACGGCATAAGGGCCAAAACGATCGCCGGCGCTAATTTATAAGCAAATGCCGTAGTTGTTTCGTGAGCAACGAATCTGGTTGGGAACCGAAAGCTGAATGGTGCGGGTAGAACTTCTGCTCTACAAACGCTACAGTAGAAATGCATGCATACGAAACAACTACGGCATTTGCTTATAAATTAGCGCCGGCGATCGTTTTGGCCCTTATGCCGTTGACGCGGTGCTCTAACCTGAAGTGGCGCCAGTCTGGCCAAGATGCTATTGCGCGCCACCGACTTTCGCGTGCTCTACATTCTACAGACCAGCACCTGCCAGGTGAGTCAGCCATTGCTCACAATGACGCGAGCGTCGGTGCCAGCGGGTCTCCCAACTCGGTGCTTGGGGGCATTGCACCCTTCGACTTCGAACGACCGGGAGGTTACGGGCGCGTTGCCACAGCTAACAAGTAAACGCTGAACAGTGTCCGTCCCATAAAACATGGATTTAACAGGAAGAAGTGCTGTCTTGGGGGAGGGCGTGCGGAACTAAGAGTGCCGCCCCCACAGTTCAGGCGGATGGAAGCTTCGCGAAGCCTCCACAGCCGCCCTACATCTGCATATCTATTTTAACTTGGTTTCACTATACCTACGGTGAGCCGTACCTACACTGACCTCCTATTGGCTTACCTTTCTACCAATCAGATAAACTCACCCCTTCTCTGGCTGCGCGCCCTTCCGACTTGTCATTCCCGAAAAAGACAGAGAACCGCGACGCTTCCGGCTGTCGCCTGAGGAATTAGTCCGACCTCGCTTCTCCTTCGCCTCGGCCTGGTTGTTGGAGGCTTGGATTGGTTCCTTGGGCTGATAGTTGTGTCGCTAGCGGTTTCTACTGCTGCCGGAATGCAGTCTCCTGCTTCCGCGCGTTCTGCCTCGCCTCCAGCGACGGCTGATCATGATGTTGAGGCTCCGCCGTCTGCGTCGCCTCTGCCGGCCGCGCCGGCAGACTCTGAATGCGCCGCCGCGCTCGCGCAGATTGTCGATGTTGTGGCCGCTGCTGGTGAAGATAGCGATGCTGACTCCGGTCTTGACGAAGAGATGGTGCGTGTGTGGGAAGAATTAGAGCTCACCAGTCGCTCTCCCGGTCTTGGCTCTCCAGATTCGGGCTCGGCGTCCCCGGCGCTGGCGACGCAGGCGGCGGCGGCGCGTGAGGTTGTTGCTTTGGCTGGTGGTTTTTCTCCACCTACGCGCCTCCAGGAGTTGACAACACTGAGGTTGACATCGTCCGTGCCTTGGATGTCAAGGGCAAGGCTCCGCACCGTTGCTACTTGGTGGAATGGGAAGGCAATCCGCTACAGCTAAGCTGGGTCTGGATGGAGCAGCTCGACAAACCGTCGACGCGCTACATGATGAGGATGGTGGACGCTTGGAAGGAATCGGGAGACAAGCGCACCTTCTGTTATTGGAATCGGAGCGTGATTCCGCGTCGGAGGCTGGTACTTGTTTCATGGATGCTTTCCGCTAGGCCTTGTACTATCTCGGACAGCCGAATCTGGTCACAATGAAGATGTGGGATGCGTATGAAGACACGCGACCTGAAGCCATCCAGTACGGTGTGTCTCGCGACGACGTGACGGAGTTCTTCAAGGTTCTGCAGCGCAAGAGTATGCCACTGAACTACGACGTCCTTCTCCGAAACGCTCTTCCAGAGTCAAGTGCCAACATCACGACGCTCCAAGGTGTTTGCCGCAAACAAGCACCCGGTGTTTACGTCGTCAGCGCTGGCCGTAATGATGTCGGGCACTGCTTTGTCGTGGTTAACCGTGGTCCGGAGAAGCAACGTCTGGCTCTTGACAATTTCAATGCCCGCAAGAACCCGCCGGTGGACGTTCTTCCTCTGAGTTACCAGCAGTGGATTCAGCACGTGAAATGGATGGCGCAAGTGGAGCTGCAACCAGGATACAAGTGTCGCCACGGCAAGCGCAAGTCGAAGACGCAGAAAAGCGGGAGAAGCGCATGAAGCAGCAGGTTCTGCAACAAGAGGGGATGTAATACGGGAATACATGTAGGCCTTTGAGCCCCCCTTCAGCTGATCTTGCTTCACCGTTTTTGACGCTTCTTTCGCCTTGCAGATTCAAATTCCGCGATGAGATCTGGGACTTGCGACAAGTTCTCCACTGGTTCCCAGGTTTGTTTCTCCTCGCCCACCCACTCCACAAGATATTGGATCCGCAGTTTTCGCGTTCGCTTTCCACGTAATGCCTTGACGATCTGGCCAATGCTGCCGTCCGCTAAGATTACGTCGCTTGGCCTCGACAAGCGAGTCAGCTCCTTGGACGGCTTCAATGACGCAGTGTTGGAGACGGGATGCAGTTTGTTGCCAGTCTGGATGTTGAGCTCGTACGCGTGGTTATGAATCTTCCGCACCACGGTGTACGGTCCAATCCACTTGGGTCCGAACTTGGTGGAGTTGGGCAAGCCGGAGTGCTTCGGGTTCAGATTCTGCGTGCTCAAGTATATCCTGTCACCAACTTCGAAGATCTGCTCAACACGGTTTCGGTCGTAGACGTCGCACATCTGTTCTTGGGCCTGAGCTAACGCTTCGCGACAGCGTAAGAGAATCGCCGCCTGTCACTCGTGAAACTCTGCTCCGCGGCGACTCTTGGGGACACTCTCAAGTTGCTCGGATGCAAGTTGAAGTGGATTCAGCGGAATGTAGCCCAGATCGGCTTCGAACGGCGCAAGCTTCGTGCTGGAGTTGACAGTTGAGTTGACAGCGAACTCAGCGTTGGCGAGATGGACGTCCCAATCATCTTGAAGTGGACCGACGAAGCACCGAAGATACTCTTCCAAGGTTCGG